GCAAGAATCACTTTTTTGCTCGTCCGCATAATATCTTATACTCAAGGAAGCTTCACGTGTTAGGCATTTAACGAAACAGCAGTACCATATCTTTTTTCAATTGGTATAATATTTTAGGATAAAATAAATTCATTTTAACAGTTTCCATCAAGAACGTGTAGACCTCACATGATCATGGACACTAGATTCTTTGTCACATTTAACCTAATTTCGTTTGCTGGAGAGAGCTGACAATGACCAAGTTGCACCACAGTTTCTTTTACCAAAACACGTGCTTGGTTGTTTCGGAAGAGTTTGCAGTCCTATTGCATTTGTGAAACATCACATAAGACTGTGTTTGTTTCTTATTTTATCTTCGGGTTTTGTGACTGTTTACTATGCAAACCGTGCCGTCTGGCGCACTGCGTCCTCAGCACCGTTTCTTCCTGCACATATCATTTTTTGAAATGTATTCAGGCTCTCTTTTAATTGATTTCTCAAAATCATGCATTACAGAATACTGGTTTTCTCTTACAGGAAACTAGCTTTTCCGGTGTTTTTTTTTATTTTTTAACCTCGTGTCCAAGGATATTTATCGCGTGGTACTAAAGGTCCTGCCCGGTTATGTGGCTGTTGTCGCAGGTAACAGTGGCGTAAGATTTACATCAGACAGGCTGACGAGTGATGACGGTTAGCAGGAAGTATTCTTTGAAATATTTGAACGCGAGGCAGATTGTGACTAAAACAGAAACATTTTACGTCTGGATCACCAAAGAAATTCTAAGGGTATTGTTTTTTTACCTCGTGTTTCTTTAAACTTGGACATATTTAACTGCCAGATTGTCTAGACAACCAACAGCACGACCAAAGTAATGCTTATTAACGTTACCTTTTAGATTTCGGCCGGAAAACTTACAAAATACACTCGTTTCTCTCATATTTGTGCCGAAACAACAACGGACAACTTGTTCTTAAATGATATATTAAAGACTCTATCGTTGTTCTGTGGTACAGCAAGACGGACAGTCTTGTTCAACCGACTGAATCGTGTTTGAGATCACTGCAAATTTTTGTTACCAAAAATATACACTATTTCCGCAGTTTATGGAAGGACGCCAGTTATTCCAAGCACTACTTTACACCATTCTCTGTGTTACGTCTTTATAAGACAGGTAGCCAATTGTGATACCGAAGGTTTTTCGACTCACGGTGCTCTTTGTTTTCCTTATTATAGTTTTCGGCAAATCTCTTTCATCTCTGAGTCCTTTGGCTGTCATTTACTAGGCACAACTATGTTGCAGTGTATTCAGCGATGCGGGTGATTTAGACCTCACTGTCCCTCATCCAAACGAATTTATGGGTTAAAACTGATAATATGATTTCCACAATATAAGCCCCTTAAATAGACTTTCGCGTTTCCTGCCATTAATATTTCCAAGGGTCTTAATTAATGGCGGAAATAAAATTGAACAATGCCTCAGTATGTCCACATCTGCCTTGGGATTGTTTGAAGGTGTTCCAACATAAAATCACTCAACCCATCCAGTGTCCCGGTATTTTTTAAACATGAGCGATAAATTAGGAAATAGATAAGAGACAATATTTGGAGACTTCGTAGCGGCGAAAGCAAGGAGGGTGTGTAGTCAGAAAGTGAATGACTTATCTTTTATGCGCACATCCCTGGCTGCTTGCTCAGGACACTAGGGAAACTGTAGATGAGTAATAGTTCAGTCATCTGTGGGTAATGTATCAAACCTCAATCGCGTTTGCTTTCTGTTGACTGATACCCATAACCACATTTTGAAGCATTTAACGGCGATTACTTATGAGATTGTATCGTACTTTTAAACACTCATAAGTGTTGGCTGACCGGTAGGCTATTGAGCTGTTGGCCGTCCATAGCTTGCAAACGTTTCGTCATCACTGAAGTGCATGGCTGAGTGGATACCTCCCTCACTATTTCTTGCGTTTATATGGGTTTTAAAGATGACATGAGATCCACTGATGTGGATGTTATTTTGGAAGCCTCTTTCTTGCTGGGTAGCTTGATTTATGTTGCATTGTGCTCTGTAGGCGACTAATGCATCAACCAGCTACTTTCTGAGCATTATCTATTCTGTTCTGAATGATCACTTCGAACTTGCATTGCACTATGATCTGCCTTGCGTGGGCCTAATCAATTCTCATGAAGGTTTCTACTTTTAGTCGTGTTGTCCCTTTGTATTGATTGGTTTGTTCGCAATTTGTATTGTGTTGCAATCAGATCGTGGCCTGGCTGGTTCTGATCCACCGAAACCCAACAGTTTATTTATGATATCTCTTTGAGTGGCGACGAAATATTTACAAGTTGACTGTCAAGCATAGCACACGAATTAGCCGCTATAGAAATTACCAGGGCTATCACTATTTCAACAAATGTTCGACACACATGATAACGTTACATCCCCTACATCGCTTATATGTTGATCGGTTGGCCAACCTTTTTGGGGACGATTCTTTTCAAACCCTTCTGCGCTTGGAATTTCTTCATTGTCTTGCGTGCAAAAGTCCAGGTATATGAGACATTTTAGATTCATTGAGAGTCCTTTCTCCGTTCCTTGTATAAATATGATATCTAAAAGTATGGTTGTATCACTGTGTCGCTTAGCTTAAGGCTGTAACCCGGTACAATTCGGTTGTAAACTGATCAAGTTCCGGGATTGCTTTTCTGCTCCGGTTACAGCCAGTGGGCCAGGAGCTTTATCAACAAGACTCGTTTGTTTTGACTTGTTTTTCTAGTAGAATGTACTTGGATGAAGATCCGAAAACAGTTCTGATACGTATTCGTGATTTCAACATCCAATAAAACAGATTAATAGCATTGAAATGGACAATTTCAAGAAACTCAGTCAAATATAGGGTATGATTCGTCACATGTGACATTTGGTTAAATTACACGATACTGGTTTTTCTGCAGGGAAGAGTCTATTTTTGCGCCTGGTAAATAGTTAACAGACAAGCGCTACTGCCTACCTTCATCACACAATGCGCACACCCAAAGCCACTGAAAACCTATTGACAAGCATTGGGCAAGCACCGAGCTCTCACCTTCAAACGGTTTGCCAGGTGTGAGCGCACTCAAGCAAAAGATCTCCAAATACCTGATGAACCTTTCAATGATCGAACGACACTTGTTTGTGGAAGCCTCACAAAGGACATAGCGTATGGATGTGACGCAGTTAGTGGAGGCCTGTCCGGCTAGTGGGACGCCCTTTCTCATTCGTATGTTTTGGCCTCTTCTTTTAGACTTCTCACTTCACTGTACACCAAATTCGTGCCAATCTCCTCAAGCGACATAATTTAGCGTGATATTACCACAGACCTTGTGTTCTGTTTGCATTAAACTGCCTGAAATCATTTCCTCCAACAACAGTAGTTCTTTTAACCACTTTAGCAAAAACGGCCACCGATTCGTAATTCATAAGCATTCTGTTGCCAAAGTGTGCTGTGGGTACACTATTGTGAGAAGGATTCAGCCGTAAGAATTTCATTCTTCATATTTTTTTCAGATGCGAAGTGCTTATTGTGTCTTATTTTTAGCATCGGATAACACGGAGTCCTCATGCACCTCGTAGACATTCAGTTTCACGTGGTCTAATGCTGAATTTCATAAAATCGTTTAGTTGACTTTGGCAGCATTGCATAACGTGACCCTTACTAATGGGAATTCATCGTTATGTTAAATATGTCCTTAAGATCCAACAGCCTGGCAAAGGGCCATCTTAGAGGATGTGGGGAAAATTAAGACCATGAGATATGTTCGTTTTCACTCAAACGCGGTCTCATTTAGATTTGTGTTTGCCACGTTCATCATTTCCAATGTACGTCTGCTTTGTTTTAATTGTCTTGCTACTTGTACCCGTTTTGTTCAAGGGCTCAGTGACATGAAGAAAACTACTAACAAGTTTTCTGAAAACGTTTTGACAGCCCGCGATTGGTTTCGCCCTTCTTGGGTCACGCAGAAACTGGGAGAGTGTACCCACATGGTAAGCCCCAAGAAGGTCGAGACCGATTGTGAGCTGTCGAGGAGTTTTCAGCAGTTTTCATGAAAATATATTGCGATATCTCGAATATCGTACCAAATAAAACATGACGCTGCCTGTGTGCAGCACATGTATTTAATGAATGAATTTTCAAAAGCTAACAATGTTCTTTGATCACGACTGCTTTGGGGACATTAAGTGGCTAGACGGCATTGCAAATGTTATTGAAGCGCATCAAAAGCCCCCTGCGGATTCCATTTAGTTCTGGGCTTTCCATGTAAATATCCTGGCTAATTATACTATCCCAGGGTTATTTTTCTCCGTATTTGTACGGGACACTAATATTTTGGCAACCCAATACTTGTGCATAGTTCCTGTTTCACATCGACCAGCGTTTAATGTATCCGGGCCCACACATTTATCATCATTTACACGTTCATCACTACAACAGCTTACCCCAATTAATTTTCAGCATTGTCTGTTTTACTCGACCCAAAATGACAATGCGCAAATTTCCTTTGAACTTACAAGCTTGCTCCGACCGAACCAGTGCTGACAGAATAACTTATCTAGCCTCAACATAGGAGAGTAAACCAACGCAAAACAGGCGGTTCAGCAATTCAACTGTGGAACATTGAGGAAAATGCAGTAACAACAAAGTACTACATACATTAGGGACACAGCAACTTTTCGGGAATTTCCAAAGACGTATATCCCTTAGGACTATACTATCGTGATCGCAGTAAATGTAAACGTCAGTCAAATGATCAAGTGAGAAATTATTCATAGGTGGCACAATGCACTTTTCATATTGGGGAGACGAAACGATCAGTCATCCAGACAAATGTCTACCCCTCCCACCGATTTTCTGACGGCCAGCATAAGAAGAGAGCTTTCTATCTCTTTCTGAGTATTGTCAAGTTTGTTTATCCTCCATCGTGTTTTGTACGTTGTTTTTTTTAAATCTTTTGCTCCCCTGTTTCCTCCGATTCTCACTAGTTCCCGTCCGAGGCAATCCTAAACGCAATGAAAGGCGGCGATCCTCTTCGAGAATGTGTCTTCAGCAAAGATCTTCCAGTCTGGGCCGCTTGAGTGATTTTTCCAATGATGAAAGTGAACAAAACCCAGAAACTACACCTCACTCACTCATAGCGTCAAACGGTCACTTACCCCAATCCCTGGACAAAGCTCGCTCTGTTAACACGGCCTATAGTGCTAACCGGATGACGACCAGCGTCAGTGGATACTGTCTGGATTCAATGGCACTTGGACGACTTGACAATGCGGGAGACTACAGTCAGTTCCATTCAACGATGTTTTATTTGTTCTTTAGCTTAAAGGCATCACTAATTTTCATGTCAATCAATGTTCCTGCAGATGTTCCCTGAAATATCATAATGACACCTTATCCGCAAGGATACAGGACACGAACCAACCAGTCAGATTTTCGCGTTTGTGTGTGCCGAATCGTGAGGCTACCAATGTGACGTAAACCGTTCTTTGATGCCGTAGGACAGAATATAGAGTCTGGCATTGTATCGGCACAAAGTTCATGAGACACGTGAACTTAAACCTTCATTTATGCAACATATATAGCATTTGAAATACTTTCATGGACGAACCTTCCTTAGTAATTTGCAAAACATTGTCTGAATGGTCTCTACGGATTTTTGTTGCGTCTTTGTTTATTCCCATCTTAAAAAATAGTTCAATGGCTGAAAAACTGTGGCCGTGATTGAGCAACAGAGCACCAACTCACACCCTGCTTTGCAGAACCGGCCTAATTCTAAAGCAACTTGTCACCGTTCCACTGAGTCAGCCGGGTATAATGAGATTGCTTAGATTGTTGGGAAAGGTTTGCCACAGGGCACTTAATTCTAGCGCCTGGGAAACATTTTGGGCCATAATTACTGAAACACCGAAAAGATTTACGATGCACCACAACCTCGCTTATTTCCACTGTGTAGAAATGAAAGGAGCAACGCGCTCTGGCTAATTTTTATGGTTATTTCGCTTGTGATTTAGCCGAATGTACACGGCAACCAAATTTACACAGTATCGATCCTACGCACTTGTCGCGCACTTATTTCGGTCTCCAATGGTAACCAATAAATTGTTATGCCTTTCCAACAAAGCGAATATTCTTTGACGACCGTTTCAAAAACTGTTGATTCTGTTCTGAACTTTCCAATTCCATCCGAAAATACCGAAACTTCAAACCTACACATTAAACACACTTGGAATTAAGCTGTAAGAAACCAGAAAAGCTATCGACAAGCGGTTTACCGGAGAACTATTTCCCTCATCTAAAGACTCTCTCGTTGGGTTTGTTTCAGACTTAGCAATGCCTCTAAGGGATTAAATTTTTATCCCTCTTCATCTACGGTTTAACCTCACATCACTTACGATTAAATCACAAAACCTGGTTTAATTTGCAGTCTATCGAATACCTCGAACATCAAATGTTAGCCTCTGGTTTATTGTGCTGACTAAGCGCGGCATAATGTTTTTACAGAGTTTGGAAATGCTTTCATCCATCTTCAGAGTCCCACTTCCTCTTGGACAGGTTTATTTGCAAGCAAGCCCAATCACAGTGCCTCTCTCTGCTCTCTACAAAAGCCAGTTATATTGGCAAAGTAGCTAGTGTTAGCTGGTAGTGATAATCGACTTGTCTTGAGGCTTACGTACACCTCACCATGACAGGTGTAACTTCCGCAAGGTGTCCAAGCGAAAGCTACAAGGTTGTCATATTGGCCTGTCACCGTTTTTTATTCACTGTCAATAGAAGCTCTACTTTGACGGGCGTACTAGCTGATGTGTAAACGGTTTTATATCTACGGTAGGCAATATGTGAAATGTCTCGTAATAATTGGTCCCCACGTCTAAAGTCACTTATGCCGGCATAGGATCTCTTATTAATGTTGCATCGCACAAATGATGAATGGCACCATGACCTACTTTTTGTTTCGGGTATAAAGCTCGGGAATTCCGAACACAAGTGCTAAGAAAATTCGACTTCGACATCGATAATACAACTCCAAAAACCATACATTTACTAGCTCTTCAGAATCACGGAAGCACAAAATGGATTACGCTAAGAAACACATACCGGAACGTGAGTCGAAATTACTGAAACGCAAATCACTAATACCGAGAAATTCCAAAAGTTAGGTTGTGCATCCTTGACTATGGGGTTCCCTTAGTCTATGGATATTTTCTTATTTGGTGTGCTATCAGTGAACGGAACGTATACAGCGAAGGTTATACGCGATATAATAAATATTGTCCGTTTGGTATCTTATTCGATTTCAAGTCTCCTTGTAGAAAGGTGGGCGTACTGAAATTTACGTTGTCTCAAGAAACAAGTGAACTCGGTCTACTTCAGGATGAATTAGTCCGTTGATTCAATAAACCTTGCATATTTATCCGCAATACCAATTTTCTCATGGTTTGTACCATCTTCCTATGGCACACCAAAATATTCGTTCAGGAGAGGACTGAGTCGTTTCAGTGCAGCTGAAAGTGAGGTGATAACTTGCGGTGGCAGTCTGTGAAAGTATGATTCGCAATTGGGTCGGAAATGTAACTAATGAATCTCCCTTGGATTGGTCCAACCTGCAGCGTGTGGTTTGTTTAGGTGTAAACTGCTCTCGTGACGTTTTTATTCCGGTTATCTTGAAAACGGTGAATGGTGGTCATTACTTAAACCATACTCAGTCACTGAACTTAAAAGACCTGGTTCAATATGCAAATTCTAATATTTCTACTACCCGCCAAGTATGGCAGTAGATATCCCTTTCCGGTGCTTTATTTCCCTTTGAGTCGATGTATGCTGTGACTCTGAGATACATATAGAAGACTTCCACTAAGTCATACACCACAGAATGCTTTGAAGAAACGCGGATACTCCGCACTTCACTCTGCGGGTATCTGGTTATTCTGAGGCAACGGCTGGTGGTACCAGTGGTGTTGAATTAACACTCGGCTCTAGTTTTATAAAGGACAATATTGGGGCAGATTTCAGAGCACGGTCGTCTCTGCGCACTACGGTTGTCTGATTCACTTAGATGAATTCAGTTCTGTGTGGTAAATGGCGTTGTTCTGCACGTCAACAGACCGCAGTACACTACATTGCTGAAGCTGGTGAAGGAGGGTTTTCTCGATGCCTTTGAGGACTTTTATTATCAGGAGTTGCGTATTTTCAACCTTCCAACTGATATGGTTGCTTAAGTTGGGCTATTAAGCCTAAGAAAGCACAGTTGATTAGTAAATCAAGGGTGGATACTTACCGTACACATAATGGTGGACAAAATCTCCAGTAATATGCTAAACATCCTCTGTTCGTGGTCAGTATGAAATTTTACGACAAGCGCTGACACAGATTTTCCTTGAGGCCATCAAGCGCAAACCAGTCAGGGACTTGTTTGGATCATTTACTGATGGAAAGCCTTAATCAAAGACCCATTCTTTCTGGGATACCCAACTTTGGTCCGTTCATGCGATCTTGCAGGATAGGAGCATTTTACTCCACCTAAGGGTTGCTTAGGTCAGAGCGAAATAGTTTTGTCAACTCGGCTCAGCGGTTTCCAAAGACTCAGGAATATCGAGCTTATCTGGCTAGAAAGCTACTGTAAATGCACTTTGAGGGGTGGATATAAACAGTAAAGGAAGTCATGTCATCAGAATTTAAGAGTATCTGTCATCGACTTGACCAAATGAACTCTGTTTTGCTTAAATCAACAGCTCCAACTGATGCTTTTAAAGGAATGCTATATACAAGCAAGGACGGTATCTTACAGTAATCCGTCATACCCAGGTCAACTATGAGCCCAAAGAACGACAGTGAATGCTAGTGAATTACAGAGCAACGAACCCCATTTCCGCTGGTTCGACTAGCTTGTCAATAAAAGACATCAGCGAGACAATTCGTGGCTAACACGGAACTGAAATCTGTCCGCAAAACTGTTTTCTTGATTGATGGAATGTGTAGTTAGAAGAGTAAATCGATAAGCCATCTTCAACAAAATCTCTGAAGAAACCCAACGCATCTGCTTGGTCAATACTTGTATCAGCTGCAAAAATCCAGCGGCAGATATGGCTCCCTCAACTCGACAAGTTAGCAACCGGCCCAGATAGTCTTCACCCTAAAATTTTTAAAGTAGATAATGAAGCCCCAGTGGACATACTGAGAAGCCCTACCACAGACATTTGGGATGTAAACATAATATGAGTGTAGTGAAGCGTTTCGACCATGATTTCAGTTTTTAAAAAGATGTGGAAAACGTCATCCAATGAGTATAGCAGCATCAAGCTAGTAGCCGTCTCATGTGAAGCGCATTCTGGCCTGAGGTTCCAAAGGTTTTTGGATCCTAGATAGAGGTAAATTTGTGAGAGCAAGGCCTTGACTGAGAATGCGTTTATCCTTAACTTGAGGCTAGCTTTCAAACAGCGCCACTCGTTAAAACTTATGGTAACCACCTTGTTTCACGAGAATCTATGCCGGTGCTCATCTCCCAGTTATGTCCCGTTTAAGGGCACCGTAGGTCAAATTATTTTCAAACAGCGTCACTCGTTAAAACTTATAGTAACCACATTGTTTCACGAGAATCTATGCCGGTGCCCATCTCCCAGTTATGTTCCGTTTAAGGGCACCGTAGGTCAAATTACATGGGACCGTAGGGGTATACAACAAGCTCTCCTCGGAGTTCACGATGTCCATTGACAAGACTGCCCTTTTACTCCTGAATGTTGTGCGGAGGAATTCGGCGCTTGTCCATCGATGTTCAAAAGCATCATTCTGGTATGATGGGTACGTCGGATGAGCAACGCTGAGGCAGTCCGGACAGTTTTTGGAAGTAGGAACTTTTTCAGAATGGATGAGCTAACAAGGCTTACTTACGCTGGTTAGGGCATGGACCATTTTTTGGAGCTATTTAGCCCAGCCCTGCGCTTAGTATTCGGGAGGTGGACAACTAATGACTTGATGATGAACTAATAAATCATTGACCTGAAAACTCAGTCGAGTTGACAAATGCCGCCACCGGGGATGAGGGCCGCGGAACACTACTCATCTTTGGTTAATGGCACTAGCAGACACGGTTCAGTTACACAGATATTGGTGTTTCCGTATCAATTGATCGTCCTCAGTACACAGTTGACCAATCCACAGGTCCTGTAAACAGCTGAAGTTAACGAATCTTTGATGCACGGTTCATAGCTGCTAAAAGGAGCTGAAATGACCATAAACTACGAACACTATAGCGCACTTTCTTGGTATGATAAGTTCATTTGTTTTCCATACATTTTTAACACATGACAGTACATGCTGGCAGCTTGAGTTGTGTGAATCAAGAAACATCACCAAATGGCTTTAAACTATGTGAGCATTGAACATTAGTTCTTGTCCCACGGCATTATATGAGAGTTTCTCTGGAAATCCAATGTTTGTTTATCCAGGATGTTAATATAGTGCGGTTGTCATGGTGACGTGAATGTCCATTCGTGATGAAATGTGGAAACATCAACATTCATGTGTGTCATTTGCAGATTGAGTGTTCTTGCTATTTGTGCTGGTGGTTTGGTGATATGTCTAGTTCCGGAACACACTGGTAAGTTGATGCTGTGGTGCGGTGTTTGAAGGGAACCACTCCCATTACTAGGCGACGCGGTTTCGTTCTGGTCAAATCTACATGCGTCATTCGTATTGCACCAGTAATATGAGGAAATGTAAATTAGCAGTGGCTTGAGGATAGACTACATTCTGGTGAAGATTAGGACGTCTTTTGTTGGTAACAAAATGTATTATATTTTCCGTGATAATATTGTAGTCACAGCCAGGACCGTACAATAATTAACAAACCGCAGTTCCGTGTAATTTTACGCAAGATGCAGTAGAATACTTTTATCTTTTATTCTTTGTCACGTGTTCTAGAACGTCCTTCACCACAGAATGGTCAGCCGACAAATGGCGATTATGGTAATAATTCCCTGAGCCACTCCGTCTACAACCTGAGGACCTCAGCGCAGTCGACAACCGACAATTTTCCAAACTACTCGTCAGCAACCATGAGAGTTCAGTCAGGTAATCGTTACCGCCAGCCATCCTCACCTGGACCCGAGTCACATAAGTATTCGACTGCTTGCACTAACCAAAGAAACTCAGGCAGACCGGCATTGGACACAGTTTGGGCGTCAGTCGGTCAAGACAATGGATCCGACACGGCATCCATTTTTAGCTCGAACTCCGTGCGATGTGAGTCTTCTTGTACAACACAAACGAACCTTTCTATGGAGTGTTAACAAGACCAATAGTAGTGAGATACTTCAGAGGACGCTGAATGGGGGTTTGGTGTTGAGTTAAAACTTTATATACTTCTCTTATCAGTAGCCATGGCAACCTGTGGCTAAGATTTCAACACAAAAGCTCTCCGATTGGTTACCCAACCTGAGGTAGATTACCTCAATTTCGTTTTTGTTTGTTGGCTTTCTTGACAATATGTTTAGCTCTCAAATATTGAGTTGTAGGACTGCTTATTTACACCTGCACTTCTTTTGACTACCTTTGGTGAATTATCTTCGTTAAGCTCAAGCAGATTGTCTGTTGCTGCACTTTTGTCGTTGCTGCACTCTGTCACCTTCTCTTGCTATTCGGATCGATTGAACAAGACTGACTCATAAGCAGTGCTTAAACAAAACCAACTCCGCAATAGGCGTTAACATTTATCATCAGTTTTCTTTGATTATGTAACGTTTCGTCTGAATATCGAGAAGGAGCTAATCTGACAGCAGTGTGGTGATGATGGTGGTCGGACGATTCGTAGCAGGTTCCTGAAAATTTTAGCCCATTTTTGGTTGGAATGCAGAACAAAACAAAGTGAAACTCTCTCTGGGAGGTACAGTCGCTTGACAATATTTTTGATTTCCTTCTCATTTTGGGGAAACACTCTTATGTGATCACGGGAGAGGGATAATCACCATAGAAAAATTTTACACCGGTTTCTCGTAGTTTCCAGTTGGTTGTCGTGTTGACAGTGGATATCATGGTCATTGTTCAAAATGTTCCGTCACACCAGCGAGTTTGTTTACATCTAACTAACTCTATCAGAGGTATAAGTTACCCAAGGATAGAAACGCTAATTTATTCGTCGGAGCACACCGCAAATCGAATAACGAATGTGGGACATCATATGTCGAAACAAGACACGGCATCCCTTCGTCTACTTACTCTGTTTTGTTGAAATAACTCATCCAAATGGATGATTATGGACTTAAGAATCCTCTCCACCTTTACCCAGATGTAGCGACAACTTGACGGCAATCCCGGAGAAGACTGGTGCTGAGGATCGCTAATTCCGTTGCACGCTACCATTACGAATATGCAGCGAAGTTCAGTAGCTACAGTACGGTGGCTACTACAGCTGACACAGAACCTTCCATCACACATTAGCAAGAATGCTAGAATAACACTGGGTTACAAGCAACTTGCAAAGCGGTTCACACTACATATTATGCTCAAGCAGAAGTAACGCCATAGAAAGCGTTTATTTGAATGAGGGGCACATGATTATTTGTGACAGAAATATGTAAATTGCGTTGAGTATTCAGTAAACTTCATTGTCCAGTTGTTACTTGAGAATACGCACCAACCAACAACAAGAATAATTTTAAAGAAACACTTCCAGCCAGATTGCCTGAAGTAGTCTAATCTTGGTTTCAGACAATTTTGTTCCCGGCAAAAATGCAATAATCCCCTTCCCCTTCAGGTTGATAATGACTTGACAAACAAAGTATTTCAAGGCTCCTGTTTTGAGTGTGAGTAAAGCTGTGCAAAGTAAACAAACTCACAAGTACCCTACATAATCAGCCTCACGTGCTGTCGTTCCTAGCGCTACAAATGCTGGGAACCACTTGAAATATGTTTTTTTCCATGCAGTAAGAATATCTTCTCACTGAAGTGAACACCTTCTATGGTTTGGGCAGCTGACTAAATTGGGTAAATGAAACTCTTGTTGTGTAATGTTTCTCAATGAATGAACCACCGGCACTATACTTATGCATCTGCGTTGCACACAAACGACGGCAGTATTTTCAAACTAATCTAATTTATTCCTTTCCAGTCACTATTTTTGTCTTGGCTCTGTTGCGGACATCTTGAAGTATCCCATACAAGTTTTACTAGAATCCGCACTTTATCTAGCATTGTACGGCTAAGGTTCGAACTCGGTCTGATGCACAGGATGCTCGATGCAAAAACAAAATTATGCGAAAAGACACCTCCCTACAAACAGCTACTTAATAATCTCTATTTGAAAAAAGAACGTTTACGGGCCAAGTCGAAGCCGTCTGCACGGAGAGCTCATAACTAAGAATTGCCGTTATACACATGACCAGCTTATCGAAGTATTTTTTCATTCAAATTTGCCACCAAGGGTTCCAATGATGGTAGATGGCACGTTCATCTAGTCACCTTCATCCCAAACTCACCAGTGTTTCGCTAACCAGACAAAAAACTAACCAGCTACTTTTCGAAGCTGACCTAACAGTGGGAAATTATGCTACTGGGTTTATCTGCAGGCGTAGGGATGCCTACATCTGCTGACCGGACGCAGCTTGTCTCAAAGCACTTCCCAACTAGCTTTCTCGCTTTTCCGCGATGTTTTGTTGTAGGTGGTTACGCGAAGAATTTTCGAAGTGTTTGTGAGTCTCTCGAAGCCCGGCACACATTCTAGACGCCGATTAGATACTGAAACAGCACGTACTGTCATTCACAAGGCTGACCTGAAGTTACCACGGTAAACCAGGTCTAAAATTTTGAACGTAGCAGTATCCGTGGCTAGCCTAATTGGTATCTTTTCAAAACTGCTTATTCTAACTCTGTTAACCATGGCTCAGTCAGTTCCACCTTGTTGTTTTTTGTTAGGATACACTACTGGGCTGATCGGTCAACCCTAGTGATCTAGACAATTCAAACCTCCAATCGAAGCTTGGTCACTTGTCCGATTTTTGTAACTTCTTATTTAACCTTTTTAGGTGACCCAAATTTCATACGCCGCTAGTGCATGTTCTGTGCCGCTATGTGCATATGTCTCTATGCGCGTATGTGCGATCCTGACAGCTAGATGTCAAGAAGAGCTCATTCCTTCGTATGTTCTTAAACTATGTTGAGCAGACTTTTGAATTCCCGGGCTATCTGGAAACTACCGGAAAAATGTCATGCTTGAGAGTGAAATCGACTTTGGTGCCTGAACAGTGACAAATTTCTGGAAGCTCTCAGGGAGGTACCTCGGCCATTTGAAATCATTTTTTCCAACCACCACAGGCGAAAACGCATGCCATACCGAAGGCTTTAAGGCTCTGCGAAACGTCTTGTAAAACCATATCGAATGACTGTTGAAGCGATATTAAGAGGCCCATTTTCATAGTGTCATTCTTTAACATAACTTACTGCTGGTCAGTTCGAAAACTCAGGAAGCGCAACAGCTGAAGTCAAGAGGAAGTCTATGTGTCTCAGACTGCAGACCTATTGATGCTAACGTGCGATCGCAGTAGGCCGGAAGGTCGAGCAACGGTGCCTCACTTTCAAGGTCAACGAAAGGCGGGACCAGTGTGGATCCACATGAATACCCAACAAGACTCATTCGCAAGTTAGAGTGTGAACGGACTGAGCTTTCTTTGTCTCATATTGTTTGGAATTACAATGAATATCAAATGGCTACTAACTGAATAAATGATATGAAGCCGCTTTATCCACAGGTGTCTGAATGTTTATGAAACTCATTTTTTGGGATTAATTAGTCATCACCACTTAGGAATAATCGGTCATCATTAATTGTCGAACATTGTGTTCCAGTCGAATAACATTCACGATAAAATTCCCCCACGTTTCATCAAGTTCTTCTGTCCGATTGAAGATTACAATGCGACTTTTTAAGTTATATTTCATCGCAAGCTTTCCTCCAACTCTGCTCCTCCAGGTCAAAATTCCTCAGCTACCTATGGTTCGACGGCCAGTACGTTACAACTCGTGCTTAATGGACAAGCAAGCATCCTGTAAGTTCATTTTTCCTATTAACGAATGTTTTCCATAGGGTTTTTTCATATTTTTTTATTTTGTTGTCTATGACCACGTAAAACTATCGATACTAGCTAATATTTTGAAACTGTCTAGCTGGACCGGCAGTCGGGGGTAGGCTTACCATAACGCACGCGATGTAAGACATTCATTGTCTCTTAACCGGGATAATGTGATCTAATGCGATCGTTGTGCATCCTTTAGAGTTACATCAGTACACCCTAGTTGTGTGCACTGTGAAATCCTAACTAAATCCGATAAGAAAGGCACGAAGAACTTTGAGTTGATAGTTTTGAATGGTGTGTTTTTGTCTGGACTTGTTTACGGAGACTACATGGCTGACTCACCTACCAGCAATGGATTGCTCTTGTCTTTTAGGGCATCGGGTCGATCTTGTTTGCAAAACAGCCAGATGTTTCAACGCGCTTCTTACTGCCTGGTGTTTTCTGTCACATTCGCACACAAACTTGTTACCAAGACGCGGGCTTTGATGTCAGCTGGATTTATGTGGACCACAAAGGTCCAAGACAAATAATGACAAATGCACGGAGGACGTTTAGACAGCTACAGAGCACATGGTCTTTGGACTTTGCAGCGCCCTGAGCAAACTTTCACCTCTATTTGGACCATTTTGTTATGCCTTAACGTTGTCTTACCTCCGAACAAGGATTGTAACTGATTTGGTTAACGAGTGTACTGATGGCTAGTCTCCACTTCGGTCGATACGCTTGATTGGGGTGTACATTCTCTCAGTTGAATTAGCAAACAAATATGATGTTATATCGCTCGCTCAGTTCTTAAATATTGGCAAAACGAATTTGACGACCGCACTTTAGATTTGCGAAACTGGTTCTATGCAGATTGTCAGAAATCATCGTTGTACGTACGAGAGCTCTAATTTCGGACGCACTCAATTTCATGCTGTGTGTAAATCGATTGATCGTCTAACGCGACATGTCAGATGTGTGTTCCGTAGAATAGCCCGAACCAAAGCCGATGTAAAGAGTTTGAGCACAGAATCTTTGATTCCTTGGAAACGTATGACTGTTTGGTTACTACTTAATTTCTATACACACGAGTTGACACATAGCGATAGAGGTTTGCTCTATCATGTGCTTGATTTTCTTCCTCTGGAATAACTACCTCGAGTGACTGATCACAGAGGTCTATCGCGTAGGGTTCCATCCAGATTCTGAATTTGTATCTCTTATTTTCGAAGCTTAATCAAGTATAAAACCCTGTTTTAAGTTGAAATTCTGTCCTTTAAAGGAAGCCGCTCTATAATGAAGAGCTGATTAGCATCGTGTTGCCGTTTCATCCCTATTAGTCATCGTCAAGACTAGACAGCTTACGAAACTGCAGGAAGCTTCGAACCCAGGACCTCCCGGCTTGACCATTCTGCGACGGGAAAGCTGGTCAGCATTGTAATTATATCCTACTTAAACGCGCCAGTCAGTCAAGGAAAGCGTAACAAGTGGTCACGCGCCGACTGGGGCCTTGGATGACTAGTAGGATGGAAGGTTCACTCAGGTGAAATCATTCTCCCTCTGGTTACCAACAGGTCTCTGGTAGTGTGAGGAAAATGGGATTGTCAACTGAGATGTCTTGTAAGAGAAGTAAATATATGCTGAGTAGATGGTAAAACTGAATAATTGTTCATTAATGCCCCCACTTACAGGAAGAAATCTTAGTTGAAAACTATCATACATTCTCGTATGACCATAAAATCTTGTTGGTAACACGGTTTCGTGACTAAGTACTACAGCAAACTGACAGCCTTGACAGAAGTGACAGCGTATGAACAACCCGCTTCGCTGAACCAGTGATACGTAAATTATGCCTCGGTTATGCTGGCTGATCTATCGACTGACAAGTGAGAGTATCCTTGACCTTGATTTTCATTATTGCTGTTTACTCATCTATTCGGATCGATACTCGGGATCAGACGAAACGAATAGCGAATTCTAGACAAAGCTTGATATCACCTGAGTCAACAGATTCCTCCTAAGCCTATTCATATACACATAGATCTTAATGCCGCTTTAGAGACACGAGGAATTTCCAGCAGAACAGTCCAGACACCATCTGTTGTTGCTAACAGCATGAGGTCCTATCAGGGCTATGGTGATTCAGGTGTAACAGAGAATAAACCACCTGCTTGTTACCGTCATTGGAATAGTATACCTGGAGAACGGCCTTCACACTAAACATATTCAGCTGTTATTCAGACTTGCTTATCGATCTAGCTGATACATTTGCTCACCATAGAAAGTCATAGAAATCGATCTTATATCCTGGACGATTGTGTACTCCAAAGTCCATGTGTTCTTGGTACTATCCGGAAATTAATAGGCCGCAGCGATAAAGAGTATTCAATTCAGTCTCCTAGAGAAAACATTGACCATTTTCTGTCTGGTAACACGGTTTCGTGACTAAGTACTACAGCAAACTGACAGCCTTGACAGAAGTGACAGCGTATGAACAACCCGCTTCGCTGAACCAGTGATACGTAAATTATGCCTCGGTTATGCTGGCTGATCTATCGACTGACAAGTGAGAGTATCCTTGACCTTGATTTTCATTATTGCTGTTTACTCATCTATTCTGATCGATACTCGGGATCAGACGAAACGAATAGCGAATTCTAGACAAAGCTTGATATCACCTGAGTCAACAGATTCCTCCTAAGCCCATTCCTTTACACAGAGATCTTAATGCTGCTTTAGAGACACGAGGAATTTCCAGCAGAACAGTCCAGACACCATCTGTTGTTGCTAACAGCATGAGGTCCTATCAGGGCTATGGTGATTCAGGTGTAACAGAGAATAAACCACCTGCTTGTTACCGTCATTGGAATAGTATACCTGGAGAACGGCCTTCACACTAAACATATTCAGCTGTTATTCAGACTTGCTTATCGATCTAGCTGATACATTTGCTCACCATAGAAAGTCATAGAAATCGATCTTATATCCTGGACGATTGTGTACTCCAAAGTCCATGTGTTCTTGGTACTATCCGGAAATTAATAGGCCGCAGCGATAAAGAGTATTCAGTTCAGTCTCCTAGAGAAAACATTGACCTGTTTTCTGTCAGTCTACCAAAAAAGCATTCACTGTCGGAACTTACCATTGTAAAATGGACGAAGATGATAGCAGTCAGTATCCAGATTACAAGTAATGGACTAAAGAGAAATCAGGAGCATAGTTTGTCACGGATTAGTCGCGAAAGTGACGCAGTGTAGAAAACAAGGTTTGCCATATACATATATATATATATGATTCAGCGTACATGTAGAAAACTTTGTTCAATTTTAATTATGTGTTCTTACTTAAGTTGTGCTACCCAAATTGTCTCATTCCAGTCAGTTCCTCAATAATGTGTTTTGCTTCCTATTACACGAGATGCGGAGTTATTAAGTCCTTAACCCGGTCGAATCCATCCAGTGACGTGAGGTCTAGTCTCTATGGCAGTATTTGTTGTTAACTAATGTAACAACCTTTACGTCGCGGTAGTATGAGCCTCTTCGTTCTTTGTAAAGCACGCGTGAATATTTGTTGGTTTCTTCACTGGAGGGGAATTCGGCTGAAAACGTTTCGTATCCAATCTAAGCACATCGTTACGGTGCTTGAGTGGCTGAGCGTTCACCCCAGGATATGTTTAGGCAAATGTCTACTTATGCTTGGGGCATCGGGTCAAACAGCTGTTTACGAAACTTGTTATCAAATAACGTGCCGGTGAAAGCTTAATCAGAAAAAAGCCATGTGAGATAGACAACAATTTGACTATCTTGGTATCCGAAAAGTCGGATTAAAACACCTTATTCTTTGATTTCAAACTTTCTATAAACTGCTATCGAAATCGGCTACGTACATTGTACTTTAGTCCGTTGACGTTAATCATCTTAAAGCAGTGGGCTGCTAGACGGTTTTGAGGTCGGTCACCACTGTTCGATCGGATATGCCAGCCTTTCAATTCAAAGTATCGTTTTTCACATCATCTAGTTCACCACCGTTTACAAACTCCTCTGGTCGGAAATTCCACTTTCGGCTATGCTGGCAAGACAGTGATGGGCGAGCACTGAGGTTGTAGACAGGACGGACTTTGCTATCTCAACTACCAAAACAGTTTATGTGACATGTGGTTGATGGGACATTGTAGTTTCATGAAATTTCACAGAAACCGAAAGCAATGTGGATAATTTTTTACAAACGCATATGCAACTGGGCAGTGTCTTGATTTGCAGGCACTCATGCAACCAATTTGGCACATTGACTGAACCGGCGATTTCACTTTCAGCTTGTAGACTCAAGGGCCATAGCGAGTGAATCATGCTTATTGATAACGCCAGAAGACAAGCCGAATCAAGCATAGATTTGGTGCTTTTAGGAGTGGTGAAATGTGCATGTTTCCCGTTGTCCAGGCATTATCTCGAGCAACAAAAACTGCGGTTGTGCTTTGCACTCACAAACGCATTCAGCAAGAAAGCTTACACACAGCTCGTTTTAATTTCCTGAATTCTGAGCAAAACCGATGTGAATCTGGTGATCATCTTGCACCCTTTTGACACAAGTGCTAATGACAGTTCGTAGGTGTCTGTTTAGGGGCTGGATGAAGGGATTCGAAAGAACGTTGGACGTATTTGCGATGTTGACGCAAGTCGACGATGTCATCAGGGCAAATATCGGCGCAACGAAATTTCAAAACACTATCACCGAAATGAAGGGATTCGAAAGAACGTTGGACGTATGTGCGAGGTTGACGCAAGTCGACGATGTCATTATGGCAAATATCGGCGAAACGAAATTTCAAAACACTATCACCGAAGCACCTTATTCATTAAGAACAATGCACGTCTTTGGTTCTACACAGTTTTGCATCCAACGTATGTAAATTTCCATGGATCAGTTACACAGGCAAGAATTATGAACAAAATGAGAGACAAACAAATTAGGGGTCAATAATTCCAGATCCATGTATTTTCCAAACATACACGTTCATACCCGTTGATCTGTTCTCGGAGCTTCTAAGATATTCTGTAAATGTGTAATCGTTTCACTATGCACTGATCACTACAAAATTACATGAGCTGTAGTCATTAGATGTATGTCTGTGATCGGGTTACCATTCATCTATGGCCTCTTACATAATGACCAAATAACTTCACTTCCAGTCCACGATAGATATTTGAACAGAAATGCAAACAGATCCTAGTCCGTTATTTCTCACATCGCATCATCGTGTTTATAGTACATCCACTTTTTTTGAGGGTCTCCCTATTAGGACCTTTTGAAATGAACTTGTGGTCGCCCAGTGCAGAGCAAAAGTGTAATCTACAAACCGGAACGCTAATGTGTGCATTAATTCTGTGAAAACGCTGTGTGCTACCGAGTCTTCATTTCCCACTCAAGTGGTTCATATTTATGATGATACTAACGAGAAGATCCCGTTTTTCCTGTTCTTTCAGTTGGGCACTTAGGGTCTTAGACCACCTGGGTAGAGCACTAACGAGAAGATCCCGTTTTTCCTGTTCTTGCAGTTGGGCACTTAGGGTCTTAGAGCAACCTGGGTAGAGCAACCCTGCAATGTTTAGTTCCTTTGTTTGTCTGGTTATACTAACCAGCCACTCCCTGTTAATTCGTGCGTAGACATCCGCCACCTGCTTTCAGTAAAGCTAAACTATCACGCTTGAACAAAATGGGATTCTGCTGTGTGTCACTGTGTTTAGGTGTGCATGGGATTCGGCCAACAAGTTCGCGTTTTCTCCTCTTCTCTCTAATACTATCTGGGTGATGGCGTAAATTTTGTAAATATGACTACAAACAACCTCACTCTGCAGTTGACTGGACCCATGTAAAAGCCATTGTCTCCATGTACACACTCGATAATATGACTGCCGCGACCGATTTATGACTAAAAGCATGGCCTCATAAATTGAAGCCCTTGCCTCTATCAGGTAAGCTCTTTGCAGATGTCGATGTGGGAAACTGCTTTATGGAAATTCAGTAAATACTACTAGTGACTAGTGAAAACTAAGTCATCCGTATATTAACGGTTCGATATAACCGGAACCTGTAAAGTACACAATGAATCTGGCAGTCTGTTATAGTTATATCTTTTCGTTATCGAATAAATGTGGTTGGTTACTAGATCCTCCACTCAAAGTTTGGCTGCCTGTCGGAATAAACGAACTAGTCGGAAAGCGAAACAGGTTTGCCGTATTCCATCTTTCTCTTATAAAACTTGATAAAATTTTATTATCGATATGTTACACCTGGATTTCAGTGATCTGGATGCAAGCAACTTGCCGCGGATGATTGTTTTACAAAAGGGTCCCCGTGGATTTGGTTTCGTTGTACGAGGCCGCAGAGGTAAGAGCTGCTCATGAAATTTTCTCAATACATGCATAGTTTGCTGATCTCCTCCAAACACAGCATTAAACACTGTATATCACATAGTTGCTCCACACCTGCAAATAACTTCCACTTATTTTTACAACTATTTGTCCCTTTGTTTTGACAAGAGAACTGTCAGGTTTCCAGCAGATCCTGTGCAAAAAAAGTGTAGGAAAGGATGCACTGACTCATGTTTCTATCTTTAAGACAGATTTCAACAGGCCTTTGGTGCACACCTTACTGCATTACGTACCGTCAACATTTTCACCGATAGCTTTTTGCTATAGTTCTGATTACTTGCATGTTCCATTGGATATCGGTTTGGTTCCCGTTGGTCGTTACTTGGTTGTTCTCAGTGATACTGTGTGCAACGTCCCCAAAATTTTGTTTGACAATATTTAACATTCACATTGATGTCGGAGTTAATAGCCTGCTTAGTTCGTAAGAAAAATTCTCTAGGGCTTACCAGAGAGGTTCCTCAAGTTCTGCTTACTCACCATGTGGTGGATTTTATTAACGGATTAGGAAAATAAGGTTTAAACACAGTCAGTGGCTATTAACATCGCTAAAAACATATTGGCATCAGTGGGGTTATTAGTTCAAGTTTTATACTTTTAACTCAATACACATCTCCAAACCTAATAGGTCATCTATAATAATATTCGTGCTTTAGCTTTGCACAGTACTTTCTAATCTGTTTCCGGTTAAATGTGGTACAGTAATACTATACTGGCGAAAGGAAAAAGGCCTTCGCTGCGGAGTTATCTATTAGAAAACACCACCCGAACAGTTGCAGACTAAGGAATAGGAGAGCAAATCTCATATGCATTTTGTTTATAAAAACTGAGTATCCGCCTTCTTCTCGAAAGCGACTTCTTAAACTTTCTTGAATACTCACTGACTAGCACTCAAATGTAAACGTATGCTACAAAACGATTCCACAAATTCCATGATAAATCTCACGTTTCAATAGACGCAAAATGGATTTACGAGAAAACCACTTACTACTCGCATGCCCCATTAGTAGCATCGACTGTTCACCTGTACAAAGTGGTGTTCAACCACTAGATTGGAAGTTATATATTCGAATCTCCACCGCGAATTTTTTAGGCATACTGATGATATACAGTGAGAATTGAACAATGTTTCAGCGTGGATTCCTTTCACTTATCTGATGATATGAACTTCACTCACACCTCTTCCCCTAATGCCAAGAGGCCTGGAAATTAGTATTTAGGGCTAGAAAAACTACTTATATGCCAAATTACAATCTTAAAAATATGCATTAGCATCGGACATACTTCCAAAACGGAAGGATCATTGTTTATAACCAAAATACACCTGGTCATGTGGACACAACAATTACCGTTTAGTTGTAATAACAACGTGTTTAAAACTGTTCCAACAAATGGTCTGCTGGTTTGGAGGTAAGGAACCTGAGGAAATTCATGCAACATTCTAACGGTCCCGGTGGCTAGCATGCTCTTCTCTCCAAGGTCAACTGACATTTGAATATTTTGCCATTGTGCGATTGTTTGAGGTTTAGTTACGAAGATGGCTTTGATAGCATTATACTCTGACGGGGGACTCCTCTGGTTTTATTCCAAGGTTTCAAAAGCTGTGGGCAATTTGGTATTGCTCCGATTCTTCTTGCACAACTTTCCCACACTTTCTGCCCATCCAAGGGTGCACAACAGTCAAGTAGTGCTTTCACTGCTGTCACTGTTATTGATGGCGATTACTGTGACAATGATGATAGCGACACTCAAGAAGACGTTGTACATCAGCTAACCAGATGATCTTGAAGGATCTGCAGGTCAAGCTGTTGTCTTGGCAAACATCGTCTGTAATATTCGGGGCCGTTGTCCAAGTTTCTATGTCAAAATTTGCAGAATGATTTTCAAACAGATTAACTCCACTCAGATTTAATCAATGAATCAAAAGAGCACTGTGGTCATTTTCATTCTTCTTTTGAGGGGTATCAACAAAAATAGCTAATGGTCCGATGGAGAGTTGTGTCATCTTTACTACGTAAAAGCAACCCGAGGTCGAATTCTTTGCAGTCTGTCGATCGAAGAAATGGTCACGTGCTAATTTCGCGTAATCCTAAAGTCAACATGGGTCATAGCGGAGGTTCATTGCATTCTGGGGTGAGAAGACAGCGGATGTACTTTTCAACTTCTGTATGAAGAAAAAGTCCCTATCTTTGGAAGGAAGGCGCAAATGGTTCTTCGTGTGCTAGGTACTCATCAGAGATGTGGGTTGGGCGGTCGAAAAGACCGTTTAGACTGAGTTTAGTTGAAACGAATTACCGAAATAAGGGACGATATGACAGCACCTAGAACCTGGGTCTGGATGACGTACATAGCCGGTGATTTGAGGCGAACCAAAGACCACAACAGGCCAAAAGTTGCCCGTCCCGGAACAACCAGGCTTCGTAAAAAAATAAATAAGGTTCGTTTGCAGTACTGGAGTTAGGAATTATGGGCGTCAAATTAAACAGTGGGCCACAAGGACGCCGTACCAATGAGGCAAGCATTACACGATAGTACCCGCGGCCGGGGAATCCCGAGGAAAAGTGGATGTTCTAGAGGTGCTATCTCCTGGAAGGCTTACCACAAGAAGGTAAAAGAACGCACTAAGTTGAGAGCGAATAGGCATCCACGGTGGACTGCGGGTATAGGAGAAATAATATTTCAGACATGCTATCGACAAGCCGCTTGTAGCCACGATCCCATATTGCACCTCTGTATGTAGGCGGGCGTAGGTAGCAGATCAATGCACAGGTCTACACCGCAACCTGAATTTTTAGTGACCAGCATGTCTCAAAAAGGGATATCCGATAAGCGACACACTCAGCGAACGAAAGTCACACCACAGGCGTATCACTTTTGGTTGCTAGTTGGTTGATAAATCCCTCTGTAGCCTATTCAACTTGTTTGTCTATTTGAATATTCGCAGTAGATAGTAGATACAACTTTTGACCCCTTTGTAGCAGAACACGATTTCGACATTTTGAACACAAGCTTGTGATACAACGCCAACATAACCGACTTGTGTTGACTTAACTTTCATTTATAACCCTTGTTTTATTCATACTATGTTGATGTTATGCAGACCGATATGGTTCTTTCTGAGCAGTATCAGTTCACGGGTCTCATTTCAGTCCTACCACACCTTTGTCAAAATTTGAGTAAGGTAGAACCCTGACTATGTAGGTTATTTGCCTTGTAAGCGTTACCATTATTATTTAGATGCATACGTGTGTAGATACACACGTATGACTCAGATATAGAGGGCGTAACCTGCCTTAACGTTTCACACAAACCCACATCTAAGGCCTGGTAGACGCCCATATGTCTGGCTAGCTGTTTACTACGGCAGAACGGACGTAAGTCAGCAATGTTTGTCCGGTGAGAGTGGGACAATATACCTAGGTATTGCCCATCACTCTTCAATTTGTTATCGATCCACCAGGACGTCATTCTTCTGGAGCACCTCTGAGATGGGGAAATTTCCTCAGGTTCCGCTACATCATAACTCGTATGCCAACGCACAGTTACTGTAACTTTCAGACGCCACACAAAACAGAACTGTGTAAACAGTGTCTCCCACATTTTATCTTGCGCACAGTTTGACTATATCTAACACAAGGACAGTGAGCTAGGGTCTGGACACTTTTGTCACTCTGTGGGTCGCAAAATTTAAATGTGTCCTGGTTACGAAATATTTACTATATATAAATATATATAGCGCAAAACGACGCTCGTACGTCCCGTTTCAGGCAAAAAAGACGCTCATTGCATGTTATTAGGACTGTTCAGTTGATTTTTCGGTTCAAAGGGAAACAGTAGGAGAAGGAAAGATTCCATAATTTTGCTATACTCATTGGCTGGGTTCATGTATTTATCATATCTTTCCTATCCTATAAGATCCAAGAAAAGTTGTCCATGTTCTAAGTTGGTTCATGTGAAATGGGTTCCATTGTAACTGTTAGTTGATAATTCACGTGACTTATGTTACGATAAGCGAAGTTAGACCTTCTCTGAAGGATTACGAAGCACAATCGGATTATGGGAGCTAAAACTGGGACTATATGGAAAAGAGGAAACGCAGCGCAAGAGACCGCTGAATAGCTTGAGGCTTTCATAGAACCTTTCCTTCGTAAATATGCTCAATGGCTGGCTGAGATCATATGCCCTCAATCGAACCAGGAAGGACAGTCAGTTTTCAGAAACCGGAGCTGCGTGTAAAAAAGCCCGTCCTACTGCCTAGCTCGGAGCCCAACCGAGTGACAATGGACTAAACCTGATATTCAGACATATATATATATATATATATGTATATATATATAGGTGAACAAACAGACAGNTACTGGAATAGATGGCAAAAAATTGTTTTAAGGCGTGCATTATACATTATTTACAGCATGTTGCCGATGATGCAACTGTTTACATATTCTTATAGGCCATCAGTGTTTAAGTTCAGTTTGCTCACTATGCAACTGATTCAATTACCAGTGGCGGTGTCAAATATTGTTAGCTTTAGTAGCCTTCATGTACAATCATACTGTACAGGAGATTGGTATCTTCTCTGTTTAGGCTGCACAAAATAGAATCATATTAGAGATTGCTGAGTACTTCTTTAGAGAACTTCAGGCCCTGGTTAAATGTATGCCAAATCCCTGTAAAACTCACCTTGGCGAGGACACCAAGTTGGTGAACCTGTTTTATGTTTTTCATTGAAAAATGACCTAGACACGGAAATCTGTGACAAGGCACAGCTTTCCGTATTATACCGCCAAAGGAAATCTGTGTTTTGCCGATCTGAAAATGGCGGTTGTTCTCTCTGAAACACAGTCGACAGCAAAGTTTGGTTAATGGCGTTCTGGGATGGTATCTAAGTTCTGCTCAACCCCTCATGAGACAATCAAGCCTCCATTGATGTGGCTACCCATATATATGCTGAGCACACCTGGACGGTTCTCAATCCCATTGTGTTTAGAGGCTTTGTGAGTCATACACACACGACTTTATGTCCGGCTGACCATATTTTTCACATCCGTTTTTATGTCTGGGCCAAGCCGACCCTCATCAAGTCTACCGGAACAATAGTTCACAAGGAACAGATCAAGTGTCTTTTTCTTGTAGTTCATCAGTTTACACACTACCGGAAGAATGTCTTCCATCTAACTCTCTTTTAGCTGACGCGTTAACATACATAGCCCTATCTACTTGACACACTTGGTTAGCTGACATGTTCTATTAAAGAAGTTTACTGATTTACCAAATACTTCCAGCTAGTATGAGTACCTCCATGCATGAAGCTAGGTGGCGACCATAAATAGAACCCAACTTGGAGATAAATCCACACCGACCAAAACGTTACCTGGCGTCGGCGGAGCTGTTTTGAGCTGAGTGATAAAAACAGGCATTTTTGTTATCATTACCAGGTGGTGCTGAGGAAACCCGCAGCGTTAATACGATGAATGTTCGCCAACCTGAACTGATTGAAAACAGCCGTTTACAGCGCCGCCGGTGTTTAAGAAGTTGGCGGGTGTCGTTGGGCTTAGTCAAAAACGTGTCAAAAACGTACGCAGTGATTGTAGAATACCACTGAAAACTTATTTTCCCCAAGATATGCACTTCCATGGTAATCAGGTGCTTCACTTGTTTACACAGGTGTACCTGGTGAATTCCAACCGAATCTGGAAATCCCTGCGTTGCAATACCTGGAGAAGGTTGAACCCGGCAGTGCTGCGGACCGGGCTGGGCTCAAACCGGGAGATTACATACTGGAGGTGAATCCAGCAGATGGATGTATTTATCATAACTATTTACCTATATACGAAACGTGTCAATTTTAGTGTGCTCTATACTTATGAGCAGTTATTTTATGACGAGTAAGGCTGACTGTGAATCCGCATTTATTGCCTTCTCTCAGAAAACTAAATGAGACAGGCCACTAAGTTTTAAGCCTTCAAACTTCCTTCGAACACTCTACTGGTACACACTTTACGATGAAATTGAAACTTTAAACATGAATAGTGCAAAATCCTAAAACAGTCTTCTCCAGTATCACGTTGAACAGTGTTTATAGCTACCAAAGTACAGCTGGTGGACTATCTGGGGAGTTGGCAGTTGATAGCTACGTTTTGGAGGCAGTGGCTGGTGTAACTGATACGTGAGTACAGGGGTGTCAGTGGAGTTTTCATTGGTGGATCGGACGAGGAATCTACGCACTGAAGGCAGTGGCTTGAATGCATGCGTGCCATTGAGCGCACGACCAGATCGCGTCTTGCTGTTTCCCACCTTGAGGTCCCTTTTTAGGGAGGGAGTAGTGACGAACGCAACTGATTTTGCTGAATTCTATACTACGCTGCCAAGCTACTCTTTGACGTTCTGCGGCTCGTTTTCACCCACAACGTGACCGAGTAGTAATTGCTCTCCAAGGGTTTCTGTATACGGATCACGTGACCAAGGCAACACAACCTATGGTGTGTGATCAGTTCAGCTCTTGTTGAGTAGTTGGGTTGCATTATGTTTGATTCCTGTTCCAGAGCGGCAAATGAATGTGTTTTGCAAACTTTGCACATTTTAAGAAAACAGAACAAGAGTCTCAGCTTGTCATATTGGACTGGACCCAGGGAGAGAACTGCGTCACCAGTAGTAGTGGTCGAAATAGCATTCGTGTGGACATATTAAATGCATGAAAGCTTCACATAGAAATACCATACTCGTAGCAAAAATGCAGATGGGAGCTACTTGGAGCAACAGGTGCATTTGTAGCCTTTACACTGTAGAAAGGGGTACAAACGCAGACATCCAATTATTGCAGAGCTTAGTAGTGAAACTCACTGCAATGGGCTTTGAAAGATGTGGGATAACTGAACAGCCCAACGCAATGGGTTACTCTTCTCATATTAGTAATAGATGGCCCATATTGGACCGATGAGTTACACCGAAATATCCTGAGACCTAAGCCGGAGTTGTTAGTGCAAAATCTGTCTCAAGTATATGCTGGTAGTATAAATGTGTGGCGTTTCTTGCTTATCCTTTGATGTTTGCAAGGTAATATGTTGCAGCACTATTGTTTTAAAACAAATACCATAGTTTCGATCAAATTCTTCACCTTGAAGCTGAAACGTCTTGTATTCTATTCACCAAGAATAAAGTTCTGTTGACAGACAATGGTCAGAGGGTGTACAATTATAGGCATGTAAACGTCCAACGCAGATCATGTTTCAACTGTGCACCGAAACATTACGATAGTGGGTTAGTGTACTTACTGGGAGAATCTCATGACGATCCGAAACTATAAAACCATAGACCAAAAGTTAAGCTAACTGGAGATGTTCCATCGAGGTTCGCGAGGTTGTGTAAGCAGCCACGTTGGGATCCCTTTCAGGCAAATTTATGAGCACATGTTGTTATTCACCACAAATAACTTAACTGTTCTTGCTTATTTGGAAGATATTCTGTCAGTTTTTTTGGTAACAATCAACGGAGTAGTTTTAATGTTCCACAGGATTTATGTATCTGCTTTTGTTACCCAATTCAAATCCGTTTTTTTCAGGTAAATGGGATAAATGTTACTTCCATGTCGCACGAAGCCGTTGTTCAACTAATTCGAAGTTCAGGCGACCTCCTGGGCATGAAGATTATCACCGTCTCACCGTCGGAAAATTCCGGTTCTGTGGTTTCACTGGACAAACAGGGACGAAGTAAGGATATATGTCTTTTTGGTGTTTTTAGTAGCTGACATATTCTGGGAAAACCGCGCTGGAGTATGCTCTATATCGAATAGAAATTTAGGACTTTAGATATGAAATTTTTTGAAGCCGTCAAAAAAAGTAGGCCGTCGCCTTATATGTAAAATTTGTCCGTGAGGCTGTCTGATTGGCAATTCCTGGCAGGTTGATAAATCGATGGACACATCCAGGACAGTTCGTGAGTAGCTCAGACATGAACGTGACAACTCAGGTGCGTCCAAAGTGCGTTGATGGAGCGTTAATACCACACTCGCACAAAAAATCGTATGTCCGGCATTCAAATCCCGGCACGGCTAAAAATATATCTACTGTGGATAAGCTCTAGTAAAATCGGAAATCGTGTCCAGCGCTTCCATGCTTTGGTGTGGACCAACGAGTAGAATTCCGCCAGGACAGGAAGTATGCTATACAATCATGCATGGTGGGGATATGAAATGCCCTTCCGTTGTTCCTGGCCACTACTGAACAGCATCACAATGAATAATAGAATTAATTTCATAACGGATGAACTTTTTACACAACTTAAATAGTTCAGGACAGTTTTTCAGGGTTCCTTTCATAGAAAGTCGCAATTTGCGCACCCTTTACTGGTACCAGGTTCCAACAGCCATCACTAAACTTTCTGGAGATTTGTCACCACCATCTTCTGTCAACCTAATCGGTTACATTTACTCAAAACGAACACATGCACCAGTACACTCTAGCCTGGCTTAACAGCGTTTTGATAGGAATATCTTTTTTGTTCGAATTCTGTGTACCTCTACTTGCTCCAACCATTTGAACTAGTTTCCGGTAAGTGGCGTGACTGAATGTGAATCGGTAAGCAGATGAAATCTGAGGCCAGCTTTAGCTAAATGCAAATTGTCACGCTCAACCAACTAGGGCTAAAAATGGGTTCATTTGTAGACATGTGGATGAGAGTTTTGAGACACAAAGCCTGAGAATTTTTTCAGACTAACTAGGCCAAATAAGTCACCCATTTTTTCCTTCTTTGTGCAACGTCTTCTTACTTTACTTAACATTTTTTGTCGGAAAGTGGTCTGCAATAGTACTCACTGGTAACATGAGTCTAGCCAGTGATTTCACTGGTACAGGTTGGAACTGATAGTTGAACCTTCTGAAAGTTCAAGGTGTAATACAAATACACCACGATTCGATCAGTGTTCCCACAAAATAACAACGCAACGCTAGTTTACTTCGCATTAAGGGTGACGAATCGTTTGAAACCAAATTGCCGGGCTCAGCGACCGGGACACTAGCAATCTACATGACCTATGCGATCATCATTTCTCTTTAAAGGCTATTTGTGGATTAACCTAACTGTTATCCGAAACAGGGGCAATTCATCCGTATTGAAGGTTTCCTTCAAAAGAATATATTTCGTTTTACTCAATTAAGGTCATCCTGTACAAATCCTTTGAGTCAGATTAGTGTTCAATAGTGTTCCAAAAGTCACGCTACTTATATTTAAACTTTGTACAGCAAAAATTAGCATTTCTACTTGCAACCACTCAACCTTAACACTGGTCGTATACCATTGAACAAGAATATGAAACACTGGTGGGTCACTTTTCATGTCGATCTCAGAATGCATTTGATCATTGTTAGCGTGATGATCACGATCCCAGTGCACCTTACACTGGGATTCCCATCCAGTCAATAATGCTTGTTCGCTAGCTGGGCAAACTTGATTGCAAACGTTTCATCACCAATCGAGGTGACATCATCAGTGCGTTATTGTGGAGCGTAGGAGTGCATAGCGTTGGGTTTGGGCACAACCACCAGCCCACCGCTACGCACTCCTACGTTCCACAATAACGCACTGATGATGTCACCTCGACTGGTGATGAAACGTTTGCAATCAAATTGCCCAGCTCAGCGAACAAGCCAACGACCACCATCTACGCTACCTGAGCTACCAACATTTTCCTCTATAGAAAAGTCAGTAATGCGTAAAGTTCTTCCAAAGTTAACATGGAATCCATCTACATCACTAAATCTGCGGAGGCAACCCATATTCAACCTCTACCAACAAGTGTATTTATCGAAACAGTGTTTCTTTTGTGTGTTCTAATGGCTCTCATGGAATCACAAAAAGCATTTCGAGTGAAATGAGAAAAGTGTTTTTTCACATGTGTACCTAGTCAGAGATGTTGCCGCGCAACCCAGATCATCAAAGTCATACTGTTTTAACTACTTGCACATTTGACAGTAGGCACACCAAAGTATGGTGCACGCACACGCCTCCCAAAATCCACTGATGCATCATTGCTCGGAATAATTCAAGTGAGAGCGCGGCTAACTGTTGAATGGTGGTGGAAAGGAATAAACTCCGATAAGCTGATGCCGTCTTGCAAGCTACTCTTTGACCAAGGCGGATTGCCGAACAATCTTCCGTAAAGCATCTTTGCATTGCGTCCATTATCAACCTTGCCCACTTTCTCATAAATGATACCTAAAGTTGGAGAAATACCTAGTTGGTTTTGGCAAGGAAATCACCTGGAACCCAGCCGAATATTTTGTTTATGTTGTTCTCAATCAGTCGAATGTGTTGCACCAGACCGCATCATGTTAAGTTGGTACGATATTCGAGATATCGCAATACACTGTATAGACGTAATGCACTACTCATAAGGTAGCCGAAAACTCTTCGACAGACCACAGCCGGTTTCGCCCTTTGTGGGGCTCATGAGTTAGGCATAGTCCCCCAGTTTCCGTCAACCTTAGGGAATTCATCAACCTTATGAGTAGTACGTCCTCGTGCATTATTATTACGTCCATACAATGCATCGCGATATTTCGAAAATCGTGCCAACTAAAACATGAGGTGGCCTGGTGCAGCATATTCAGTTGCTTAAACCATCACAAATGAGGGATTCATCTGACTTCCAGGTGAATCTCCCCTCCAAACCAAATTGGTACGCAAATGAGTGTGTTTGTAGACATTTGTTCAACTTAGGTTCAAACAGAACTCGGAAACTGTGCCTACCTGACGAGCCTAAAGAAAGGCGAAACCGGTCGTGGGCTGTCTTCATTAACCTAATGAGTAGTTCATTATGTCGATACTTAAAATCCTTACTTTCTCTCATTAATATATATGGTCTCTGAATATATAACAACCATGTTTCATTGGATCCGCGATATCATTTGATGATTTCGTAACCTTATTTTTTTCAATTATTCAACTTTCCTTCAAACAGCTTCCAACTGGCACACAGGAAACAGCATTTCAGGGATTGATTTGACTGACAACTCTAGTGTTCATTCGAATACGACAACTGGAACTGTTCGGTCACAGGTATGTCTACGAGAAAACTGTCCGGTTTCTCGAAACAACAACAACAACAATCCATATTCGACAATGTCCCGTTCATCTCAGATGAACCAACAGAAACTTGACCGAACCAGGATGAATGAACCGAAAGGAGGCCAGGTTTTGCCGAATCGATCGAGTGCCAAATCACCAGCGCCTCCTCCTCCAGTTCAGCCGCCTATTCCGATCGCCCTCTCCTCTCCTAGGAATCATATTTCAAGCAAAGACTTGCCGCAACAACCATCAGCAATACCACCACCACCACCCTCCCCACTTACCATCCCCGGCCACTCGCCGACTGATTCGACCTTCTCAGCTTTCAACTCGTCATTGAAACAGGTGTGTAAGGCTGATAAGGGTTTTACATTGCTACCTTTTCCCGAATTTCGCATGTACGATGTCATCGTACATGGTACCCTAGGAAAACATTGGTCACACCACACGGTCATTCGCTTTAAGTTGTCCTGAGTGTTGGGAATGATTCCCACGTAGCTATGTAAAGCACTGTTCCCATTCTCTTGAAGTGAGCTACTCATAAGGCTGATGAAACCCCTTCGACAACTCACAAGAAGCTTCACCGTTTTTTGGGCTCCTCATGTAGTTGCAGTTCACGAGGTTCCATCAACCTTACGTCCCACTTGTACGTAGATTGCACGAATTCGTGAAATGCACTCACTTGCGCACCAAGTTGTTTGCATCGGGAGAATCTACTGAATCACAGTTGAACCTTTCATCGAAATGTCCTTCACAAAGGCTGTCTTATGTTCCAGTTCGCTTCATTTGAAGGTCATCAAAAACGCGCGACTGAACTGGGATTCTGTTGATACTTCCGGTATAACCAACTTAGTATGCACAGCAGTGTTCTCATTCTCTTTAGCCTAGACTGGACGGCTTGGTGTTATGTGTCACACGGTGGAGACGAATATGTAGTCCATTTTTAGATAAATAAGTCACCTGGATCTGCGGACAAATGTGCACAATGGATACGCAAAGTGATGGATTTAAACGACAATTTTGGTCGTTGTGTATTACACTTAAACTATGATTGAGAGATCACGTCACCATCCTACATGTAATTACAGAGTAACAGTACTAGTGAACGCAAGAAGGCCTTTGCTGCGGACTTGTTTATTGCAGAAACACCAACTGAACAGTTACAGACTATTGGACAGGAGAGCAAAGCTCTCATTCACATCTTGTGAACAAAACTGAATATCCATCTTCTCCTTGACGCGTCTTCCNCTTCCTGAACTTTCGTGGATATTCATTGACTGTTACTCAAATGCAAGCGAATGCTACAAAGGGAGTCCGCAAATTCCGTAATAGATCTCACTTTCCAAGAAATGCGAAGCGGGTTTACGAGAAAACACTACTACACGTATCCACCGTTACACAAGTAGTTTTATGTCTGCGGTTAGTATCTTCGTTATTATTGTGACACTGAAAGCTTAAAGAAACACAACCACTTATCGATTAATCTAGTGTGGGACGCACCACGTTATGCGCCTTTTCCTAGATTTTTTTATGCTCACAGCCCATTATGGCGTCCTCACGAAACAGTCAAACAAGATGTGACCGATGTGACGGATTATGTGCAAAATATGATCATAAACCCCGAATCTTCGCATGTTTACTATTTTCCGAGCAAAAGTTTATAGGAGCCCCAGAATGAACTGCGTAAATAACTCAGAATAACACGAGCTCAGGATTTACGTAGACAAGACAGTTTGATTCACACTGCCTTCGCCTGTGCCAAAAATTTCGAGGTTCTATTAAGCCCCCATCGTTGTTGGTTTTCTCAGATCTGGAATGTTAATGCTCCGATCTTCTTGCCCACAGGTTTCACAGAAATTACCCTAACCTTCCGGAAGCGTGCAGAGTGCATAATCAACGTATCATAACTCAGTTGTGGCTCTCATTTGCTTGCATGTATAAAATTATCACTTTACCGCTTGTCATCGATTGATCGATTGGCTCTCCCGTCAACGTGCGCTTGCCTATTGGTGCACTGTGGTTTGGTCAGTTAGGATTTCGGAGAGATTCATGCTGTGTTGGAAACTTCGGTTTCAGGTTTGTTCTGTTGAGAGCAATCTCAAAGAGCGGAACGGAGCGTTTCTTTCGGCTACAGTGTAATAATCAGTGTCTTCGTTAAGATGGCATATTTCTTTACTTGTTTTCATTGTATCCACTTTGTTTGTGATGTGTGAGTGCAGTGCACAAGGGTAGTTGTTAACATTTTCCGTCAACCTCATTCTTACTGATCAGATCCATTTTTCATTCTTACGCTCAGTTCGTTGCACTCCCTACACTCCTCGTATATCTTTAGGGATACTCTTACAAGTGTTTTGATTTAACGCTGTCTAGTGTTGCCTTGGTGGCCAGCCGTTGCTCCAGCATACCTACCGTTCATGCAAGCCAGAGCGCTTACTCCCGTTATCAGTTTAACAAGGCATCCCGAATACTCAGTAATACGCAAACACATACGAAGGTCTCTGTGCACGCTCATCGCGTTTTTTAATAAACAACACCTTCATTCGGAATTACCGTGGTTTTAGGATTCTACGTGTGTACCTAAAGATGAAGCTTATTACCTGGTGTCGTTTCATGTGTTCCACAGTACCGTAAAGTATATGAGTCTATGGCTTTCACGATATCTTTCTCTTTGTTTCATAGATTCCTCCACGACTCTCGTCAACAGTCTCCGGTCAGTATTCAGTCCCGATTCCCACACCACCAGCGAAAACGACGGATACCCCGAAAATCCCTCCACCCTTGTCCATTATGGACAACACCAACACCACCACATTCAAACAAAAACCGTCCAATGGCTTTACAGTGTCAAGACCGGAAATCGTCCAATCCGCACCCTCACCCCGGGATGATTTCAACGAACAGTTACCATTACCACCGCCACCGCCCCTTGAAAGTCCTACGGCGACGACCAATATTGCTGGCACATCAGGATTGATGCTCGGAATGCTGCGGCGTCTCAACAGTGACGATCATGAGTCCAAATCGGCAGACAACAACCCCAAGCCTTCTTTTGAAGATCATCTGCGTCGTGCTGTTGAACTTCGGCGGCGCAAACTTGAGATGCATTCTTCAGAAGATGATGAGGAAACCCGTTCGCGAGTAGATGCAGACGAAAGCAACCGAAACGCCTCAGCTCACAGCACATTATACTCCTCTACAAATGTGTGTTCCCTACGAGTTAACAACGGCACCCCGTCGAATGGTGGTGCAGCACCAGTGGCAACATCTCTTAGACGCAATTTATCAATAACACAAACCGGGGAGAGTTCTTTTAAAATTGCCGCCGAAAAGTTCCACGCTAAAGCTTTAGCGCGAAGTCAGGGGAACAACGCGGGTACAATTCCACCTCCAGAAAAATTCAAAGATACCACATCCAATGTCCAACGACTGGCAACAGAATTTAATCAGTGTACTCAACAGGTCGATGAGCGTTCTTGTCGTTCCCCTCTTGAACTTGGCAACCCAAATCGGCCAAAGAATCCCAACAGTAGTGTACCCCCTGTTCTAAGCAACAAACCGACCAGCAGTCTCTATTTCACTCGCTGTGCAGAGAAAACCAATCACACTGCAACGGAAACCAAACGGCCTTCAACTCAGATCAATGGACTATTGTGTTCGAACGCTACTACACCATCCTCAACCATTCCACCACCTCCACCGATTTTTGCCAATCATGCAATTCGTTAGATATGCAAAATACTACACCTTGTCTTTTGCCGTTGATTGCTGCATTTTCTCCACCGCAAGAACAGAACAGCACAGAACAGAACAGACCCAACGCTCTTCTCTTATTCTTTCATTATTCATTCTGTCCGATGCCACAAGTAGAATACTATTTTTTGTGAGTCATATCCTTTTGATTGAGTGCAGATAACCACATCCCAAATGATTGTACATAAAGATCGCCTTCTAGCCTGGATTTTATCTGAAATCCGTTCATTTTTGCTAAGGAAAACCAGTTATAGCCTTCTACTTTATCAGAATTTAGGATGCTGTATCATATGTACCAGTGCTTCTCCCATTATTTTCCCACCGCTCTAGTGCTCAGTGAGTGTGCATGCAACCGGTCCATTACCTCGCTCAGTTGAACTAATTTCCAGTCAAACACTGATATGTAAAAGAAACTGTTGGTTATTGTAGGCTCACACGTTCGTTTTCTCAATTTCGCCATCTTTCGATGCTGAACTGCGCCCTTTGCTAAGTGCCCCTGAGTCCCATTCGTTCAACCGATGGCCAACGATCTAAAAGGAGAAAACTGAAAACATTTCGCTCTACTTGAACGTTTGTGTTGCTAGTGTATTTTTGTGAATTTCAGCAGAGGCTTTCTTGCCAATCTCTTGTTTTTTGTTTTGAACGACCGTGACCACGTGAATTTTTCAAGGTTTCCCGTAAAGAGGTTCTCCTTCTTTGGGATAGATCGGCAGTGGTCACTAAGCTGCAAACAGAAGGGGAATGGGAAATTTCGGTGATTCCAGTAGTGATTCGCTAGCTGAACCGAGAATCGAAGATGTTGTATGTGCTGTGAGTCGTTGCCTGGATAGCTAGCACGAAACAACCATTTTCAAATTTATCGGTAACGACTGTCATTGGTTGGTGGGTTTGTCGTTCAGACACGCCAAAGACATCCGGTCACATGACCAGTCTCCGCCACAGTAAGATATGTGAAATGACGCTCAAATCAATCGACTGTGTCAAATATGGCTACAGACATCCAGTGATTGGTTTTGTGGTTTCCATTCGATTACTTCAGATTTATCCGAAATACTCGCTAGTGACCAATATCTTGTCGAAGCGGTCACCTTATTCTAATACTTATGTGAACGAACTACAGGCTTAAGCTTGTAATGTGGCACCTCTGTTTCAGTCACTTTTTTCTGCTCTTTTATTTACAATTTCAAAGACACAAAAGTCATGACTGTGTTGAACAATAAAAGCCGATAGCAGGTAGTGGCCAGCGCCATAGCAACGGAAATTCCGACAAATTTTGAAACTCAAAAATGATTCACATTGGTTTGGTTCAACGTAATTCACTCTTCTACTCACTCCCAACACAAACCTTAAAATTTACACCATCCAGCTGTATCAAGCATTATCATTTCAGTAATCAGAAATATTATACTTGGACAACTACAATTTCCAGAACCGAATTTTACAAATTTACACATGTCATATGCAGGATTCTTTCATCAACACTTCCGTTTCACGGATGATCTTCCCCCAAACATTTATTTGTTTTCTGTCCATCTGACAGTGTTTGTCTGCCCATAAATTACTTGCCTGATATTTGGATGTCAGCATTTTGAACTGGGGATACGTCCTTTTCAATTTGTTGAAATAGGCGAGAAAACAAGAAGAAAATGAGCAGCCTAACACAGGTGTGGGACAGGCACTGGGTATATGTAGTTGCACAGATGCATACTCGTATAGGAACACCATTGTGCTACTGGTTGTCCCTTGTCACAGTGTAATTTGGCTAAGACCACTTGCCTGTCACTTGAGGCGTCACAGTACGCTACCACATAATACGAAAAACAATTTTCACCACTGGACAAGGATAAACAATAATAAAGAAGAAGGAGACGACGACAACAAAGTGTGCACAACTGATCAACGCGGTTGACTGAACTGCCAAAGCTCATGCCCGTTCATCCAGGTATTTTCAGGGTTTTGTACTGGTTTTGTGCCTCGCTGCTGAGGCCCAAGTCGTCTGACCGCTGTTCTTTGTGGTCTCCGTTGCATTTCCTGATCAACCGGATAATCTGGCGGCATGTCAGCAGACAAATCACTGTGATCAGCGGAACTTGCACATGTGAACCCTATATTGACTGGTATATCACGTGATTGTGGAGGTTGCTCACTCTGCTCCGGGCCTGATGAAGGGACTATCAATGGGTCCCTGGATTGACCATCTACTTTCGATTCCATGTTGGGAGCTGGAGGAAGGGAGATTCTATTGTCCAGTACGTTCATGCTACTCGGTATCGACGTAACCAGTTTGATGTTTGATCTGGAACGGGGTAGTTTGTGAACCTCAGATTTGAGTCGCTTGGATGTCGTGAGACAACGTGAAGCGAATTTCAGTTCCCGCCACATACCTTTCAAGACAGTGACCTGTTTAAAAGATAAAATTTTAAAAATCAATTAACATATATGGAAACCGATCCTTCAATGTCAGCAAATGACTACCAAGAACATCTTACCACTCCTCGGAGATACATCTCAGTATAAACACTCTTTTTCACCACACCCGGGTGTGTGCGAACAGGCCAAGAAGTAAAAAAAATACCTTCATACAATACACATGGGACTTCAAGATTATTGGTATGTACGCACAGTGGGCTGTATGGAGATTTGTACCATCAAGTCGGTAGTCAAAGGTTTAATTTGACGTCAACATGACAAGCGAAGTATGATGTCCTTGAAACACACCCATGCTGGTTCATCGGGAGCTTCAATTGGTCGATCGAATCCAGGTGAAATAACCCGTGGTTGGCAAACCACCTTGCTGCAAACATTTATATCAGCGCAAACCCTTCGGCTGACGATGAACGCATGCATATTCCAGTTAACTGCTACGTTTATCATGTTTCAACTGTCGGGTAATTTTGGAGGTTTATAACGTGGGTTTTCGTCAATTTTATAACGAGTAAAACGTCCAGGTACAACGTCCAGCGGGCAGCCTAGCATGGTGGGACAGCCATGCAGTCGATTCTTGCCACGATTTTACTTGTTACACTTATCGCGCTGAGTTTCATTACCCCACTTCACTGTGTAGGGTTGTATTTTCCCTCAGAAGTCCGTCATGGTTCATGCGGTATTTGGACCCCTTGAGGATTAGAATTTCTAAGTAGTTCGAAAGAGAGGCCCTAATAATTGAAGCCACCATCGTTCATGTGGGACAGCGTGACTGGGTCCTTTGTACCTCATGCACTTGTCAGCCATTTCTACCGTGTTTGGAATCTTATTTCGACGACATTGCCCACCTACGCCTTTGAAACCACGGGATGGTTATCAGTGATGTTAGACGATACACCGAATTGATCTGTTCACTTTTGCGCGGATTACTACCTTCGGCTGGCTCATGAAGAGAATGAAATCGCTTCATAAAGAACGTAACTGTGTTTCTTATGTGCAGAGGGACCTGAGCTTACAACTGGAAACTAAAGATTAGTTCATTGTGTAACCAAGATCATGTTGCTGCTTCAAATCGGACTAAGTCCGAAATCACTCGATTTTTTTGCCGGGGGCTTCAAATTTAGGCTTAAAGAACTGAGTAGGTTTATTCACCTTGGGCATATTCTAGGATGTCACTTCGAAATTTACTCTGTAAAGGTCTGGGAGGGACATACCTCTTCAAGTACGCAATCAACAGGGGAAGGCTTGCTGAGATATCATGGTTTTAATGAGGATAAGTGAGCTGAGAATTGGAACTCCTGCCGGGTGCAAGAACTCTTTCGGAAATGCTTTTACCCAGGGAATCGTTGTTATGCACTGTCTGAGTATTCAGTGTTGCTTAAACGTTATTGGATGGTTAAGGAGAAACGTGGATTTTAGACCTATTCACGATTATCCTTTTGCAACACGAGCAATCATCCAAAGGCATCAAACAGCATACAGAAAACAAAGTAAAGAGAACTTGGATTAAATACAATGAATCAGGGACTGGAATCAAGCTACCGCTTAGATAAAGGCTTACTCTTTTCTGGTCACGTGTTGCAATTACAAATTCGATAATGGACACGATGAATCCAAGTAGAAATCCCACTAGGAGCATTATGAACACTCCCCCAACCTGTTCCACTCCCAACGGACTGGGTGCCTTGTTTCTCTCCTTGAGCAACGAGCAGGGCTCCGTTATATTGTATTCGTTCCACCATTTTCGCTTTAGGTTTGCCAAGACCTGATTGTTTTGTAGTTTCAATATCGCCTTGGAAACTGGATCACGCCAAACGGAACCTGAATGAGTGAGTAACAAGCAACGAGACTGAGAGTTGATAGAGGAGTAAAAAAGACGACTGGTTGTTCAAACCCGTTTGATTGTTTATTCTGGTCCGTTTTTCTATCAAAACATTATCTGGTTGCATGTTTTAGAGGCTTTTAGATTAATGTGTGAGCCACAGTATGAAAGTATGGTCAGTACTTTCTCTGTTGTGCAGTGGATTCACCTGAGATTTAAGACTTAAGCCACTGAAAATCTGTTTTATCGATAGCAGAGAGGAGAGTTGTTTGACCAGACCGCAGTTCCGTTTTGAAGTTGTTGTCATTTTATTTATTTTGGGTTCTATCCGGGATCATTCACTCACAGTTGTGTGCACTAAGTGGGAAAGTACACGATGCGAGTTGCACGTTTATCCCGTTTGGGTACCAGTGCCCATTATTTGTCCTCGGGGGATTTCACACACAATATTCATGGCCTAGCAGATAGTTGTGCTCACACACTGTTTCGCTAACCCGACGCCACGAAGGCCATACCGGAAAATTTCTCCGGGTTGAACGATATACAGTAATCCTCAGAGGAAGACTCGTCTTCAGAATATTTCTGATATTCCAACTCTGGAGAACACAGTCCCTAGTTCCACGCGGAGTATGGTTTTTCTCAAGAATGATCCATCTTTCTCCCCAAAGAATAGTTATCAACCCCATGGTCTGTTGGAAAATTCATCAGATAACCACATCGTCAGAGCTGGGTTGAGCGGGTCGGCGACGATGTTACCTCGATTGGTGATGAAACGTTTACAATCTAACTGCCAAGCTTGGCGAACAGACCAACAACCAATCAGCGCACCCGAGTTACCTATATTCCACGGCATTGTCATCATCTCTTATGTTGCACAAATGTGCAACGCAACCTGACCAAAATTGAGAAGAGGGATAATTCTTGGACGCTGATCATTAAGAAGGCTACCTTTGGAGTGATTCGCGAACAAGCAGCGTGAATGGACAGCAGTAATCCCTGATGTTTTGACTAAAATTACCAAGCACCATATTTCGACAGCTTCAACTCGGAATATCATATAGCCGATCGCGAAAAATAGGAAATTCATGTGATAAATTGGGCATCTCGAGTATGTCGGGGAACTCACCTTGTGGAAATCCGATTCCATACCCTTTCGAATCAAGTAGTGCACCTACTTGCATGAGAGAACAGTCACGTTGTACATAATACTCGTTCCAAGAGGACTCCAGAATAAATGCATAACCACCGGCGCGAACGCGCTCAATTCCTGTCCTGGTGTCTGGTGTTGTCACATCTGGATACTTGTCCATAAACTCTCCCATCTTTTTGAAAACCGGTATCGTGGTTGTCTGAGAGAGTAAACGAGATTCGTAATCTCCAAAATTACGTCAACAAACTATGCAATACATGTAAATCGAAAAAAATGTAAGTGCCGTTTAGTGGCTTGGAGACAAAACGTCGGACAGAGTGGAGGACGTTCAACTGTCTAATTCCATTCAAACTGGGTTAGCCACAGCTGTGGTCGATTATTTCAGAGGATATTTCAGAGTTCCTGGTATCTGTTCTTCTCTATAAATCCTGAAGCTTTTTATGTCACGACTGCGGTTGGTAACATAACGTTGAACTGTGGCGAATGTGCTAAAGATGCTGAATAAGGTCCAGCATTATGGTGTTCAGGATTACGATAAGCGAAAGGCTAACACGTACACAAACGAGAGAAGGCCTATATTTTAGCCTCCCTCCCCAACATAGGGGTTACGCGTTTTTCAGTTGATTACTTGGGATAAAGTGACGATCTAAAACCGATTGCAAGAACTTACTCTGAAAAAATCGCGACTGGATCCACTACGTAACGTTCCGTATTTGATCTTCTCTTGATTGGCCAAATCTTCCACGCTTTCAATTGGCGATTTGGTGTTTTCCACCGTCAAGAAAGCCGCCAAATTGGCTGTGTATGTGGCGATTATGATGAGCCCGAAGAACCACCAAACTCCGGTTAGAAGCCTAGTCGAGGTAGCTTGAGGTGCGAGTTCAACACCTTTCGGAACAATACAGAAGTGACAGTGATGTACACTGGAATGTAAATTATGATACCAAGACCTAAACGTGGCATGCGCTTTTAGGCAACCATTTGGAGGGTCACAGACACTGGTTTTCTGGCATTTGATATTCAGCTGATGAGCAATATGACGTTACTTCGACTAACATCTTCTAGATTACGGTGAATTTTAGCCGTCCGTCTAGAGGGATATCATTTCTGAAAGCCGAATAGTATGGTATCAGTCTTGAAGTAAACGGTCTTTCCGTCGTTTATTTTCACAAAACGAAACGAATTGCAGGTTTCTGGAAGTACATCCATTTGCAAATTAATTTGGTTTTCACATGGGACTCAACTGAATCTGTCGTTTATGATATTCTACAACGGAATGTGCTGCACACAGGCCGCCTCATGTTTCATTTGGCACGATATTCGAGATATCGCATTATATTTTCATAAAGAAAACTACTCACAAGTTTGCTGGGAACTCTTCGACAGCCCACGACCGGTTTCGCCCTTCTTGGGGCTCATCAGGTAGGCGCAGTCCCCAAGTTTCCGTTAACCTTATGTTCTACTTGAACCCAAATCGGACTGTTTTCGATAAATACACTCATTTGCAAATCAATTTGGTTTTTACGACAGACTCAACTGAGTCTCTCGTTTATTCAACAATTGAGTGGGTTCAAGTAGAATATAAGGTTGACGGAAACTACGGAAAACTACCTGATGAGCTCCAAGAAGGGCGAAACCGGTTGTGGGCTGTCGAAGAGTTTTCAGCAACCCTGTGAGTAGTTTCCAGATTGCAGCTCCTTGCACGCGAACCCTTTTCATTACTATTACGATCCGTCCCGAAGTGCCCTTCAAATTTCATGACACCTCTGGACCCACAACTATGCGTCCAAAATAAACATGTGCTAACTCTGACATAAGCCAGTGTTGGATTGAGGTCCCCTGAATTCATGATTTTGATACCTCCCAACCACACCCTTTCCACTTACTCTCCTTTCTATTTGATCAAATAGTATGCACCCATCACCTTCAGCTGACCTCTTCAAGTAATATCCAGAAGTAGATCAGTAATAGAAATCATATTGTGTTACCAGAACAGAATCTCTCATGGTATTGATCAACACTGTGTTCATTTGA